GCATAGGGCTCATTCGAAAGGGCACGATTTAGCCTTTAATTTCTGACATATACAAAGTTTGTAGCACGTCAGGGTTCAGCTCTACAATTTTTCAAAAATGGCCAAAAACGCTGTTTTTAGGGGTTTCAACCCCTTTTTTCTCGAAAACGTGACGTGATGGGAAGTTTTGGACCCCAGATTCGTGTTCAGCACGAAAAATCCGTTCGGAAACACCAGGTCCCGTCTTATTCGCAAAACCCTTGTAGACCAGTGTAATTAATAAAGTTTTGCACGCAGCATTTTAGCGACTCACACAACAGGTAAACAGGTTTAAATATACATACACATACATATTTACGTACAGCAGAAAAGCTAGCTCAGTGGTACCAAATTTTAGAAAATATAAACTAATAAGACTTTTTAATTGAAAAGCCTCAGAATCAGAAATCCCTAATCGACTTCAATAAATACATACTGTTCATGAGAAATAACAAAATTTTTCAGGGAGCGTGTCATTACGCTGCATTACAAAATTCTGCAAAATGTTAAAAAATTCTGCCCGATAAAAATTCTGTTTTTTTTTAATTCTCCCTTTTCTAATTCTTCTTTTTCAAAAGTTTGCTTTTGAAAGTTCCGCATTTTGAAATTCCATCTCACAAAATTCTACTTTTCGCACTTTCGTCTTTCGAAATTCTGCTTTTGTGGTAGATAAAACCTGACAAAATTTACCATATTCGCATCTTTGGCTATGTGCCAATCGGCCACTTTTTCTCCATGGTGAGACGGGTTGGAAAAATTTACTATATAAATATACGAATAATTTGAATGCTGTGCCAAATGCAAAGTAAAATTTTGACAGTTGAAAATCCAAACAAAAGCTCGTGCGAACGCTCTATTTCTGACGTTTGATCCATCAAAATTCCATCTTTTATATCAATTGGCACAGACCCTTTGTCTTAAATCTACATTTAGGAAATACGTTCCAAGCGAGCTAAAAATCTGTTATATTGAGCGAAAAGTATTCAAATTATAACATCGTGTTTTTACACTTGTCAAAATAAACTTTAATTTTCAATATATGCAAACAACATTTTGTTTTATTAAATTACAATATTTTGAGAATTGCATCTGTGCAAAAA